TTATTACCATGCAAGCAATTGTTGTGGTAGCATTACAAATGATACATAGTGAAGAAAAAGCCCATGTAAGGCCTTCAACTGTTTAAGATCCCTCCCACAGAGATAAATACTACATCTCACAGCTGGATTACTACCCCAGGCAGAAAGTTGAGCAGTTACGAAAAGGATTAAGTTTAAACAGTAGAGTTGCTAAGGAATATTTCTACATCATGAAATAAGACAAAACATGAAGAGTAAGAGTTAGATTTAATGATTAAATTTTTAATGAACTCAGCTCTCACACTTCTTTTCTTGCTCACAATTAAGGAAAACATCGGGTTTAGGTCATTGGCAGTATATCTAAACAAAAATATATGCATTGCACAAGGATAAAAGCAACACTGAAACTGCAAAGATTTGCATTTCATGTAAGAAATTAAAACGATGCATTAGTGGAAAAGTGTAAATGGGAATATTTTAGTAGTCAAAATAAATATTTAATAAAAACCACACACCCATGACAATGTATCAAAACAACAGAACTTAGTATTTGCAGGGATACTATCTACACTTCCTTGTGTTAAACATTGCTAAATTCAGAGGCTTTATTATTATCACCCTGCCTTCAGCAATCATTGCTCATATTAGTGTTGTAAAAATTCAAGAGAATGGAAATACTGTTCCGATGACAGAAATAGTAAAGCCAGTTTGCTATAAACAAGGAAGAATTTACTACACCAAGGAGTCAATCCACAGCCATTGCTACAAAGTCAACAAGGACTACTGCATAGCATACTGGTTACTGTACCAAAAGTGCATTTATCAGCATTCAATGAACTGGGGAAAAAGAGAGAAAACCACCCTTTTTAATATAATTTTTAAAAACAACTGGATGATTGACAGTTGAAGAAAACACAAACATTTCCTTTCAAAGTAAAAGCATAGTCTAAAGACCTTAAGAGCACCATAAGATTTCTGTCAGGTAAAACAGTGCAAACCATTAGCACTGTGAGTAAGGAACAATTAAAAAGTTATCATATCATTTCCTATTTAAAATGCAACTGAAAATTTCTGTGTGTTGTTGCATCCTCCTATACTACAACCAGTGGCATTTTGATGACCTTTTCTTAAGTTCTGGAAAACAAATAATGCAAAGAAAACCTCTTTTTTCATGTATAGCAAGGGCCTAGAAAGATTTAAACTGATGATGTGTAAACTGAAAAGTAGATATTGTTAATACAAACAGATTTATACGGGGGAAAGCAGCAGTGTCTGGCTTATTCCATTAATTCTCCACTCAGTTCTTACACTGATTCTTAAAAGCAGCATTACTGAATATCCCTGACTACCAATGTTTTTTATGAGTGCTATTTTCTCATTATTAGGATTCTGCATTTAAGATTATTCTCAGCTCTTTATCCTTCGATTGCCACCTACCCCCCACATATTTAAAAGTTGCAGTTTTCTCACAGAAAGCATTGTAATGCCTTTTGCTGCTTGCTAAGTGATATGCAGTCAATGTTATTTCTATTTTCAAAGCACTGAGACCACTTTCCAGTCGGATCACATATTAAACAATAATTAAAAATAGTATTCTCTCCTTATTCTATCGTGACACAATAAAGACTATTCACCATTTAATATACGTTCAATCTCTTCTAGTCTTTTCAAAGCAGCAACCCTCTTTTTCTCAATGTCTTTGATTTCTTTTGTAGATTTTTTGGCAGTCTCTTTGTCCATATGGTTTTTCTCTGTTCGTTTCTTACTTTTTGAGTGCCCTTTATCGTTATCAACTGTTGTTTGGGTGGTTTTCTCCTCACTTTTTACTTCTTTCAAATTTTGAAATGAATTTTTTTTTTCTCCTGCAGCTGCAGTTGCAGTCCCATCTGCAGGAAGTGATGACTGTTCTGTAGCACCGAGTGATGCAATTTTACTTCTAACTATGTTTAGATGACGCTGAATATACTCTTCATGAGGTGCCAGTGCTAGTGTTTCAACCAAACATTTTTCTGCTTTTATTAAGTCTCGTTCTTCAAAGTAAACCACACAAAGATTATGTTTTCCTTGTACATTGTTGGGATCCAGTTCCAAAATTTTTTCAAAACACATTTTTGCCCCAACAATATCCTTCTTTTGGTTCATAAGAATATCTCCTTTCAAAATCAGACCTTTGGTATGATCAGGGTAGTATCTCAGCAGGTCTTCCAGGACAGGCAAAGCCATTAATTCTTTTGCTGTCTGAGAATAAAGCAGTGCCAAATTGAACAAAGCACTTCGAAAGTTTGGCTGTAACCTTATGGCTTTCTTCATCCATGCCTCTGCTTCCGTATCTTTTTTGTCATCCATTGCCAGCATACCCAAATTGAAGTACCCGTTTGCATCCTGTGGTTCTTCTTTCACGTAATGTAACAGTCTTTGTTTAGCTTCAGGTCTAAGCCGAGCATCACCTAAATGACAGAAAATGCATTTAATTCTAGATTTACTCTGAAGGATTTTTAGACCAGGCCTGTAAAATATGAATTTTTATACAAATTAAAATGTAACATCTTTAACACAACTGTAGAAGGGAAAGGGTTTAAAATGCTACTTAGCAAAAGTAATTGACATCTACCTTCTTTACAGAATGGAACTACTTACAGTTGACTTGTAGCCAAAGTCAGCACCATTATTCTATTATCTGTTGAATTACCTTTAGGTTTGGTATAACAGATACAAAAGGTGTCTCTACAAGTTTAGGAGAAGTTATTTTCATGTATGACTGAGCAAATGGAATGCAGTGAAGACGTCAGTTCTGACAAACCAGCTCTTACAGAGGCAAACTTGGAGTAGAAGATCTCATTTTGTTACAGAAAGATTGGAAGAGTTTAAAGACAGAGATCACATAGGGTGACTTCAGATGGAGCCAGGCTAAAATATCTTCTAACACCAAAACAATAACATTTACAACTCCCATATTTTAATTTGCCACAAAGTTTGAAAAAGATATAGTTAAAAAAACCTTACTTGATAACACCAGGATTAGCTAAACTAGCTTGTAGTCTGTCTTATTTTTCTGAATACTCCCATGAACGTATTTGAGTAAGGAATTTCAAGCACAGACTTATTGATGGATGGGGGAGCAGGGAGCTGATTGTAACCACCTTCTTTCACCTCCTGAAACAGTGCTGCATCTTCCAGTACCAATAACTGAATACTAGATAGCTAATGCAGAATTCTGCTTGTCTGAAGCCCCTTGTGCTTCTACAGACAAGAAACAAGGCATTCCTTGTACTGTGTAACCTACACTGGGAGAAGAGACGAAGAATAACCTATTTACATCAGCTCTAATCAACTCTGTATTATGTCTGTATTAGGGGTAGTTTACCACCCCAACAAAATGGAAACAAACCTTACTAGTCACTTTGCAAAAGCCTGAAGTTACAAAAGGCTTACACTTACCCATATGGCTAGAAGCTATAAATATGAAAAAAGAAACTCATGAAAATCTGACTTAACTAATCCTAATCAGCAATATTACAGAGGAACTTATGAAAACATCCACATTTCCTAGGGCTAGATTTAAAGCCCACAGAAGTCAGCTATAAGTTTTAGTCAATGAGGAATGAAATCAATCAATATAAAGACAGAAGACAGACGTTACACATATTTTACTAAATATTAATTTTTTAAAAGATTATATAGGCACAATTTTGAAGACGTTTGTGTAACACTACCTTTATATGTATAAGATGTTAAATTGTAAAACAGCACTTGTATTAAAGATACCAATCAGCTAAGGTATATGCTTTGCTCTTTGCACAAATTCCATACACTAACAATAAATTAAAAAGCTATTACAATAACGTTTCTTCTTTGATGACGCCATGAACTTCTGCTTTCCAAAAATAAAACAGATCATTAAAAAAAATAATTAAATAGTATGAATCCTGTAATTGCAAATACACAGCATCTACATGAGGGACAATGAACCTACCAGATTCCTGCATTAGCAGCGCTGAGTTGAATAACGCCAGTTTATGCGTTGGGTTGAGTTCTAGTGCGCGGTTGAAATTCTTCAGGGCTTCTGTAGGATCTTTCAGTTCAATGTAAACAATTGCCAAGTTGTACCACAGGTCTGCATTGGTTCTGTCTAGTTCTAGAGCTCTAAGATAAGCCTCCTTAGCTTTCAGAGGTTTGTTCATTTTTAAAAGTAATTCTCCCCTGTTGGAAGAATCAGATTTAACCTTCAACTTTTATTCATACTAATATGAAAATAATTGACAGATTTTTTTAAAAAAGTTTGCCTTCCTATAGACAGTAGATGAGAGATAAGAGTGTTTTTCCTTGTTTGTTTGTTTTAAACACGAGACAACATAGGATCTTCTTTATATACCACTCCTAAAGCTTTCAGCTCTCAAAAGTCTGTACACAACAAACGCAGCATAAAAAATGAAAAAAAGTGATCAAGTGTTCCTGATACTTGCTCTGTAATTACACTGCAACAGCTATAGCTTAGGCATCTTTGCACCCCCCTACATCCCAATGGGAATCACAAAATAGCGAACAGAAGCCTCAATATCCACACCCACATGACTCTTATCTATTTAGCTGACATTTCTCCGCTTTTCAGTTGTCTTGAATTTTCCAGACCATCTTTAACAAAGGATAAAGAAAGCTCCATGATTCAGACTAACCAAAAGCTTTTTAGTTCAAAACTAAACTAGGAGATTAGAAATTTGAGTTTGAGATTCATAAAGAAATCTAATGGAAGTGTCTTGTATACGATGTTTGAATACACAGCCTATGTGGAAATACACCATTTGAAGCAGGAATTTAAACGAATGGAGCTTGTACCGAATAATTGATTATTGCCTGAAATCTCATCTTCTCATTTGGAAATTAATCAATCCCAGCAGCTAATTCAACTGTACAAACTAAATACTGTTCACAGCACTGCAAGTACATAAAGGTTTATCCAGGAATATGTATCTGTAAAATTAGAAAAGATACCTGCTGATGTAAGCCTGCTTGAAATCTGGCCTCATACTAATTGCTTGTCGATATAATTGATCTGCTTCTTCAAGGCGAGATTCATTTGCTCGAATCAAGTTTGCAAGGTTGATATAAACATTCAGATGGTTAGGAGCAACTCTTGCTGCATACTTTTTACCCGGAATAATCTGTCAAAAAGAACATATATACCAAACACAGATGAGTAAAAATGTGAAAGACAATCAGTACAGATCTCCTCTTCACTCTGCCACATTTGTTTTAGGGTACCACTGGACATTAGTGTGCAGGCTTTTAATATGATTACAAACAGCAACTCTTCTTTCCCAAAAAAATCATACCAAAATATAAACAGAGTATTTCTTCATCTTTAATTCTATGAAGACATAGATGACTTTTATACCACAGTTAAGATACCAGTTAACTAAGCTCTGCAACTACGTAATCAGGCTCATGCAGACAGCCATTAGAAACGAACCACATCTTGCAAAACTTTCCTAATTCAGACAAAAAATATTCCCTAAAGCCTAAACTGATTTTGTATCAGGTAGTTTCATTCCGTTTTTTTACCCTCCAGCCTAAGATAAGTATAAATAAGATTTTACCAACCACTGATATAGCAGATGAAAAGTAGTCATGAAAGATGACTATAACATTTCAACTACTGTACTTCATATACTTTTGTCTGTCTAAAATCTTCACATTATAAACTTTTTAATGCCATACTTCTACTCAAGGGACTTCTGATTTTTTTTTGCCAGTCTCATTTTACCCACAGCTTTTGTTACTTTCCTACATTCTCCAAAGTACTCCTCTCTTTTTCTCCTAAAGAGCTAGAATAAGTAGTAATTGCTTGGTATAAACATAACTTAACAAAAGGCAAAGGTAACAAAGCACATGTTTTAAAAGTCTGTTTAAGCAAAGATTTATTTGTTGCTGCTGCAGCTACCCTCTCCCACCTCCAATGCTGCATTTAAGCCTTCTCTTGAGGGCTCAGAAACTCAGTCATCATCAATGTGTTAGCTCTAAGCGAAAATAAACCCACTGTGACTAGAAACTGTAGGTGTACATTTTTAACCTCTGCTTTCTTTATATCCTCAATTTTAGCACCCCCCCCCGAAGTATAAAAAGTAACTTAAAATAGCTTTAACAAAGAAGTTTCAAGTTAGCATTTTTTTAACAGCCGTGATTGTATATAACCTACTCGTTTAATATATAGGTTTTTAAAATCTATAACAACTTTAAGGTATACAGCAACACAGAGCTTCAAGAAAAATATGAAAAAGGGATCATGAATATAGGTCTGAAAGAATTCCCTCCTGTGGTGGTAGATAAAATAAAGATACTAATTACCTGTGGCATCAATGACTTAGCAATCATGTATGATTCTTCGGCTTCTTTAGTTTTGTTTAAGTTTTTGTAAGTTCTTCCTACATTCATGTGGGCACCGATATCATCTTAATAAAGAACAGAATGAAACTTCAAATACTTTCATGCACTGAGTATCATGAAAATAAAAACCTATGCCCTCAGAGTAGCATGAAGCACAGGTACTGCATAAACACCACCACCCACAACAAAAAAACCCAACTCTCTAAGATTTTTCATCTTAATAATACGACCATTTAACCATGAACCAAAGATGGATTATAAGGTTACTTGGGAAATAGTAAAAAAAACCCAAAACTTGAGGTCATACTTCCACATACCTACCATTAACCTCTTGTGCCTTAGTAGAGGCACATAAATTGAAGGTTTATTAGGCTTCTAAAAGGAAAAAGGAAAGGTTGCCCAATTCTACCTAGAACTTCTTTTGCAACAATATGTAAAATACAGTAAATGTGCACTTTGATGCTTCACAGATTTTTAAATTTTTTTATACACTTCCTTAGTTTTAAATAAGAAAATCAAATCATAATTATGTTTCATAAGAAATTAATTTTTATTACTTCAGAAAGAATGTCATCCAAATGATAGTTTTAAGTGGAAAGTCTTTGCATCTTTTTATAGAAACTTTTCTGGAGGACTTTTTTTTAGTTTCTTTCCAAAAAACATGGATCAATTACCTTAGTGTATGACATTGTTTGATGCTCAGCTGGAGCAAACAGATCATTGAAAAGATTTTGTCAAGTAAGCTAAGCTTACTGAAATATTAGGAGTGCGGAGATGTCATTCAGTGGCAACTAGTCAAAGCTTTTACCTGGTTGAACTTGCGTGGCCTGTATGAAGAATTGCAAAGCTCTTTCAAAATTCTTTTCATTTTCTAATGCATGTCCCACATTGTTCCATAGTTTTGCATTGTTCTTATTTACCTAAAACCAGAAAAAAGATACCAATGCATAAGGTATTAAGCTGAAATTACAAAACAATTTATTTTCTTTTAACTATGTCTTAAAGATGTAAAAATGCACAGCAAATGACAGACTTCATCAAGCTGCTATATGTAAAGAATAACAAAACACTGCATACAGAATAATTACATTGAGCTTGTTGCTCAACATCCATTTATTTTAGTTATTTGCCCCTAGAAATACCAAACAGTTCAGAATTCATTATAGTTGTTATGGACAAACTATCCTATCATGCCATACACAAATTGAAGAAACTATTCTACGCATCAAACGTTTTGTAGATTTTTGTAGTGAACCATATATCACGTTTTCATCCAGATAAGAGAATATATTCAACTGCTTTAACAGAAGAAAAAATTATCATCTATTTCTTGCACATGAATTCCCATGTGTGCATCACTGCTTTTAAAGCATTCCCGAAAGCAACTAATTAGATTTTAATACTGTCAGTGTAGAAATAAAAGTGGCAAAACAAACGTTATTTCTCTTCATTTTTATCATGCTCTGCTGCAACTTTTTGAGAACAGCAACGCAAACTTTCTATTACCCGTTTCAAATAAAATACAGTACCTTTAAAGCTGACATAAACAATGTATACTCTGACTCCCAATCCCAGTTTCTGTGCAGTGTTTTTAAGGCATGAGTGAATAGTACTGCAGCCAAACAAACCCAAGAAATTTTTCTTAGCACACTATTAAATAAAACAAACAAAGATTTGTTATAAGCACACAATTCTAATTTATACTAGAATAAGCATCTCATGCTAGGAGGCAAATAAACCGAGGACCATATTTGTGAATGGTATATTCCAATTTATTTGTCTCATCGCCAAATGCCACACAACAAAATTTGAAAGGAAATAAGTCCAATTTCAAGTTAATGTTGTTATTTACCTGATTTTTGTTATCACTATGTAATTCACTTGATAAGAACAAATGCAATCCACATAATATAATGCAAATGAAACATATAAAAAAAATTATACTTCTGCTAGAGCTTGTCTGTAATTTAAGACAATGAACATGATCATGATGTCAAGCAATGAGGTTCTTCAAAACACTGTACAAAATGTTAAAAAACGAAAAAGGAAAATAAAATATCATCCTATCGTTTTGTTTCACATCGGTCAATTCCACACAAAATTTTTACTGTACACATCACCAATCTTTCCCACACTGTAGAACACATCTCAATAGAGAAGTCTGCTCTATTGGAGACTACCCAAACTTCCATAAGCAAATAAAATCTTAGTGCTACTGTAATAGCTAAATAGAAGAAAGGTTTAGTGTCTTTGTAACCATTTTATTCTTAACACTGCAGATTGTGGCAGAAGTCACTCTCTTGAGACAAGCTTGTCAGCAACATACCTCTAGACTTCATGTACTTTATTTTTCTGGAGTTGAAACATGACTGACTTCAACCACAACAGATATAAAACATAACCCTTTAACACGTGGGTCATTTGGTCTCTAAATACTAATTTAATTATGAAAAAACATGTTAAACACCCAGTATGCTTCCAACAATTATGAATATAATTTTGTTTTTAAAAATCTCATCCTTGAGCAGACATACGGCTGTTCACCATTGCCAGCTATTTCTTATACTTAAATTATGCAACAGCTGTTCACACTGCTATGTACTTCACGGGGGTTTGCTAAAAACTGAAAGGTTTTTTCTCCCTCCATTTTTAAGATATACAAAATGCTGTGCAGACTTAAGACTACCGTGCTTAGTTTTAAAAAATACTAAAAAAAAAAAAAGTAGAACAGCAGATTTAAGAGAAATTCTAAAACCTCAGCAATCAGCGAGAACTGGCATATGCAGTAATCTGTATCTCCACCAGCGTTATGACAGTTATTTCTTTCCACATATTTCTAAAGCAGACTTTTCAGAGTGCTGATTCCCAGTATTTTTGTAGTAAACGACACCACCGCCTTATTTTTCTCCCCAGCCACCCTCTCCTGGTTACTTGCTTGCTTTCACATCACTTCTATTTTTACGGCCTCGTAGTGGGACTTGTGATAATACTATCTCCTCGCTCCCACAAGGTATCACTAATTTCTCATTACCCAACGCTGTCAGCTTTGCCAGCATCACTTAGCATAAGTTATACTGCAGACAACATATAGACTGGGAATTGCTGCCTCCTTGTTTGTTTCAACTAACATTAAGATGCCATTGGGGCAACAAGGTTAAAGCATCTAGGTCAGCAGGAGGGAGGGAGGGAGGTGCAGATCAATGTAGAAGATAGCAGAAAAAACCAAAGGTGAGTGAAAAATGTGCTTTTAAAGCAGAATTTTCTAATGACAAATTGTTAGCCAAAAAAATTTAGTTCAATACTGAATGGCTCTGATGTCCATTCCTAGCATAGCATGTCTGAAAATTTAATTAATAGAAAATATTTTAATATGCTGCAGACTGATATACACGTATTATATAAACTTCAGTCAGTAACAACCTTTGAATAAAGTACAGATTAAACCTGGCCAAAAATTTTTTTTTTTGCCTAATCCTTAAAAATGCCTAGGATTTAAACTGACAGTATTTGTTTCTTTACAGAAAAGAGATGGGTATACTACTAGGCTCATAAGTAAAGTCCATTTTGTAGCAACGTGTAACGTAAGTTACACAGCATTCTAAAAATGTTTGGTGCAGCCTAAGGTTTTTTAATATACATATACGTGTGTGCTTATAAATATACATATACGTGAGACTGCATATGCCAGTTCTCGAGTGTATACGTTACATACGTGTCTGTGCTTATATATATACATATATATATATAAAAATATAAAAAAGTATATGTATGTGTATACATGTATGTGTGTGTATATACATAGGTATATGTATTTTAAATAAACGTAATACTCCCAGAATAATCCACTGGTCTTCTAAGAACGTCCTTGTTGTCATTTGTTCACATGACTGCCAAAAGGTTTCTTGGTCATTACTCTGTGTTCATTAAGAACTTGAAACAGAGAAAGAGCTACAACGTAACAAATTCATCCTGGTAAAAGCTCCAGTGGGAAAGCTTGCAGTTATAAATACAGTTAGCATTTATGAAATTAAGAGAGAAGAGTTAAACCAGTCACAGGTAACACTACTTTACCTTTTATTTGATAATTTCTTCCATCCATGTGCTACTAAAATACAGAATCCCATGCTAGGAACATACAACACTCGTTCTGCTACTACGAATCCAACAGGAAAAAAGAGGTTTGATGCAGGAATGAATGGGAGCACTATTAAGCAGAGTGCCTAGAAAAGAAATGCAAATGAATCAGTAATCGAGATTGGGCAGTGACAAACTGTACCCAAGAAACAAATTACAAAGCAATTAAAAAAACAAAACAAAGCAGAAAACCAGACATACATAATAGATCTTTTTTTTTCTTTCTTTTTTTTTTTTTTTAAAAAAAATTAAGATCTGTTTCACATTGAGAAAGGCAAGTTTTAACCTGCAAATGACACCATTCCTTACTTCAGGGCCTAAAATTCTATTTGCTTTTCTATACTACAGAAAAGAGCAGCTGTATGACAAAACGGAAGGATCAAAGGATTAAATCCAAAACAATGTTTTAATAAGTTCCACATACAAAACCATGACAGTCTGACAAACTTGGGCATTACCTTTCATACCAATTAAAAATTTATACCAGCTATACAATACACAAAATACTTATTTTTACAATACAATAAAGATCATTTTAAGTTTCAGTAAAAAGTGTGAAGAAATAATGTAAAAATCAGAATCAGCCACCAAATCAACATCAGTGTTTAGACAATGCTCTAAGGGCACCCTGAAATATCTAAAATGACAATGAACTTAAGAACTGCATAATTGCAGCTCTTAGTTTGGTGACAACTTAACAAAAGGTGTGTTTATTAAAAGGTAGAGAAATCCATCTGCTGATAGGAAGTGGACATGACCATTTGCTTTAAGTCCTGGGTAACTGCTGAATAGCAGTTTTACAATCTCTGGTACCAGAAAAGACTTAAATAATTATTTCAAAAAATCTGGCCTCCCAAGTTACAAAACCCAAAACCCCTACAGAAATGGAATGTTTCTTTGAAGAAAGAAAGAGGAATTTTCTAGAAACTTTCAATACAACTGGCTGTCACCATCTGTCTAGATTTAAGCACAAATTTAACTGCCTTTTCCATGCTAAAATAGTTAATACATCCAGTTTGAAAGTCAGGCTAGGTTTTCATATATAAAAATGCAATGCTGATTTAAAACTTCAAGCAAGGTTTTAGCTCATATTTCAAGGGCCCAAGAATATGCAAATGGATCATTAACACGGCTCGGCTGATGCACAGCAATTCATTAAGCTACTCGAAAATAAATACATAATTGAGCTTTGAAGAAATCACAAGCACAATACAGAGAACGTGTCGATTACTTGGGGACAAAATTTAATTTAATGTCATTTCACATTCCTCCCCCTTTCTCCTTTAGATTTTTATAGTAAGTGCTCCTTATAAAGCACCTACCAATCTGGAAGAGTAAAAGCCTCAACACTGAACTCTACTACAGATTTTTGTAATCCACTGTGAAATGCAGGATTCTTCATGCTATCCCCAAGCCAGTCCTCTGTATCATTTTTTCAACACAGTTACAGCAAATGCCTTCACACTTTCGGGGGGTGGATTATGGGAGGTGAGGCTATCATTCTGTATTTCATTCTGTTTTGAGAAGCCAAATGCATTTGTGAGTACAAAAATGTACGAAACAAATGTACAAAAGCACGTTCAAAGTGCATGGTAGCAATCAATGTGCTGTTTTGCAAATGTTTTTATTGCAATGTGAATAAACTGTATTCAGCTTTATAATGTATGTTGTACACAGGCTTATGCGAATTAACTTATTTTACGAAATCTTCTGATAAACTGATTTGAAGAAGGCACCTCTTGATTTGAAAAAAATATTACTTTATATTTTTGCTCAAAAAATACGGAGTTTTTTTGTTTTGGTTTGTTTTTTTCTTTAATGTAGTAAGGACATCGGTCCCACAGCCCCATGAGGTCAACATATGTATAGTGAAAGCTAATTCCAATGGGTTTCAGTGAAAAGGATTCTGCAGCTGACATAGCGAGTGCTTGGTCTCCGCTGAGCACTTATGATTTAGGTATCTAATAAAAAGGTTTTTGCACGCTCTGCTGTGCAATTCCTCTGATGACAAACATTACACAATATCTTGCTGAATTTCTCTTTAGATCCTTTTGCCTCTCCTCAGTACACTGTCCTTCAAATACAATTTCTTGGGCAACAGACTCAAAGCCCTAGCGCAGATATAAATGCATTCTCTTCTGTTCATTTATTCTTTCTTTTTATCAGCCTTTCAGCAGATGCAGAGGCTTCATTCAAAAAAAATATTCTGGTCAAGGCAACTGAAAAACAAACAAAAAAGACAGAAACCATTAAAGTACGCAGGAAGAAAAAAGCATATGACAAAACTGTAAAATACATGAAGAGTATCTGAACTGCTAAGTACCCAAACCCCATGAACAAACAAGGGCCATGATCACAGCTTGATTCTGAAACCTACTGAAAAGCCAACAAGTAATTCTAGATCAGTACTATTCTTAGCACTCAACATTTTCAATATGTATAGTGTAACCTATTTATAAAGGTCATTTAGTCTGACAATCAAGTCATCTGACTGTTCACAGTAATAAAGTAAACAGAAAAGATAAGAGAATTTAACTGCTCACACGTTTTCACGGCATGTCCTTTACTAATATAAGAGTAATCGATTACTTGAAGCAGCATAATGACATCAACCTGTCAAAGCATGTGTTCCAATTGATAACATACAATCTCATTTTTTGTTAGTTTAATATTGTTAGTTAAAAAAAAAACAACCCACCAACCAACAACAACAACAAAAAACCCAAAAAAGCAATTTATCTGTTTTGTCCTTTCCTAGTTCTGTTATTTTGAAATGACAATTTTCAGAACCTATGGCAAAAATTAAAATAAGACAAAATGAAACAAGATGTACCCACTTACCGTAGTTGTTCTTCCTGGAGATATCTGGTATGAAACAGATGAAAACTGACTGAAAAATGAGTCCTTCAACTTTTGCATCTCCCAGTAATGAGTTCACTCTGTGAGACCGTACTTGGGAAGAACTTTGGAATGTCCACTCGCACTTGAGGAAGTGGGAGAAGGTACCTCTTCTGTCTTGTCTCTCAAGCAGCACAGCACCAAATCCATACCCACATCAGCAAATACAGAAAGACACGTTCAGAAATACTTGCGACCTCCCTTCTCCTTTGCATTTTGGATCCCTCTCTTTTGCTTTTTTTTTTTGCAAAGTCCAAATAAACATGTTCAATTCTGCAGCAGACAAAGTTGTACCTTTTCTGATCTCATAAACAAGAGTAACCTGAGACTTTTCGCTTCGATCAGGCTTCAGCATAACACCTCAGGGTCTCCTCGAGCTAGTGGAAGTGCCAAAACATGCTAGAGACTTGTAACGGCAGAAGCTCTTTACAAAGTGCTTGGTTACCTCTTTAGAGTGACGCTCATCAGAGTGTGAAACATCAAACAGTGAAATCAATCATGGTACCAACTGTGATGAAGCCACCATTATACTAATACCACGTAGAATCCATATGGATAGCACATTCATACCTGCCAGGGTAGTAATTTATTTTCACCAGCACAAATTCAGGCTTTTATTGTCAGAATTGAGAACTAAGTGTGGAAAAAAAGTTTTTTTAAAGCTAGCAATTCAACATAGTTATCTGGAACATTCCCATAATCTGTATAAATCGGTATCACTCAATATTCACTTTCTTCACTTGAAAGATGGTACTATGATTTCTCTAGTGAGTCAGACTGAGAAGCTATCAGAAATAAATTGTTCTTTCCCCCTCTCTCCCTTGGCAGACTATCCAGTCTACATCAGGACATTAATGACTTACTGGAAGGAACAGGCTTGGGCCTACAGTGTTGTTGCATGTCAGAGTACGTAACAATTTGTTTTTAACATAAAATACTACATTTTCATTTCCTAAGAAATTAGCTTCCAGGCACTTAGGTACTGTGTCCGAAAAAAAAAACCAAACAAACTAGCATTATACTGAAGATTATATATACAACATAGGTGCATATTAAAGGAAAATAACTTTCCTCAAACAAGAACTACACTATGTTAAGTGACACTGAGGCTGGCACGCTGGAGTGAATGATCTCAGAAGACCCCTCCTATAAAAAACACTTTGAATAATAAAAACAACTATTAAAAAAATCCACCCTTAAACAAAACCTAGCTGACTTACAACAATGTATGCTGACAATTCCATTAACCCTTTCCTCTTCTGAGCTTTACTGGGTAGGGAGTAAACAGAAATGTAGG